CCCCGATGTCCTTTTGGAGGGGGATCTCCCTCCAAACAATAACCGCCTCCCCACCCGCCTTCCTGTCCTCCACGCCAGAAGTCGCCTCGAGCAAGGTCAACGTTCTCTCTCTTCATACTGTATTGTACTGTACTTTGTTTCATGTTTTTGTGGTTTTAAAAACCACAAAACTTAATTTGTAAAACCAATTTACATATGGTTCAGAATGGATTAACCGTATTTCCATTGAACCTTATGGGAAAATTAGATTCGGGTCGCGACCAAAATCGGTTGGCGACCAAATTCGTAGGGGTCAGAACGGATTAACCGTATTTACATTGAACCTTATGGGAAAATTAGATTCGGGTCGCGACCAAAATCGGTTGGCGACCAAATTCGTAGGGGTCAGAACGGATTAACCGTATTTACATTGAACCTTATGGGAAAATTAGATTCGGGTCGCGACCAAAATCGGTTGGCGACCAAATTCGTAGGGGTCAGAACGGATTAACCGTATTTACATTGAACCTTATGGGAAAATTTGATTCGGGTCGCGACCAATTCAGGTCGTGACCAGAGTCGCGGAACGAATTAAGTTCGTGAACCGAGGTACCACTGTATATTTATATATAGGTACGTACATGCATACAGGTATATGTATATGTAAATAATATTTTGAAGAGTTAGGTGGAGGTGATCATGTGCTAGTGGGAAGTTTACAAAAGAATTTTACAGCACATTAAAGGCTAATGCAGTAGCACTACAGGTAGTTTTCTTAGGGTTTTGCATAATTAGGGTAGCTTAACAACCCTAATTATGACTGGAATTTCCTTCACTAAGGAAGTGGGTGTTAGGCAAAACATCATGTGACTTCACCGCTTAGCAACAGCATTCTAGTAGTCCCAGTTGTGGTCATTAGGTGAGGACCTCATAGTTCTCCTGCCCTGCTCCACTCACTTCCACTTCAACTACCCCCCCATCTTTGACCTTTTGACTGCCCTGCACTCTGCTGCCACCTACTCCTGCTGCCTCCCCACTGTTCCTAGCTGACTTTTTCCATCTTATTCCCCATGCTGATGAGGCTTCTGTGCAGGGCCAGCAGCTGTCTCAGGCACACCTTATCAGCAGTGTGAGGAAGAAGACAGCAGCAGTCAGCTGGGGAGACAGCAGGGGTAGTTGGTGGAGTGCAAGGCAGCAAATAGGTCAGAGATGGGAGATAGGCAGGTGGGGTGAGTTGAAGTATATACTGCGGTTGTAAATGTGGGTGGGCTGCCAAGCGCCCAAATTTTGATCACAGTGGGCACTGCAGTGGCTATAACTTCAAGGACCAGTTGTAACTACCATTTGTTCAGCACTGTTGTAACTTCTAATAGTTGCTGAACAATTTTTTGTTAAGCAAGGACTACCTGAATCTCAGTTGGGACCATCTGCAGCATCCCAGATACCATGAATGTATTTCAGTATTAGTTTTGTAATTGTCTATTTAGAGTTACACTAGTGAGAGGAACAATTTGTTTCCATTTTTTCCAGAGATTTCCAATGTGAAATTACTGCTGATCTAAAAAAAAAAAAAAAAAAAGTAAGATGATAGTAGATGCATAATTAGCAAGCTTTTAAAATGGTAGTTCAGAAGTAATTAATGGAAACATGAAGGTTACTGTAAAGCAAGGGACTACAACTTTGAATTAATCTGCAATATGAAACTTGCTGATTTTGGGTGTTGTTTTTGCTGGCTGATAACTATTAGCTTTTGTGAGTGATCTGTAATACAAAGGCAGGGAATAAGGAGAAATAATAAATTAATAATAGTTCATACCATTGCTGATCCATAAGCTCATCAAATTTGTTGATTTTTTTTTCTGTGGAAAAGAAATAGTGGTTTACTCTAAAATATATAACTGTATTGGATTTTGGTAATATTCATTATTGTGTTAGTTATTTAGCCTTTTTGAAGAGGGTGGAGTAACTAATTTATAGCAGTACTTCTTACAGTTTCATAAAAATACAAAATTCATTGTTTATAACTATTTCAAATGCAGGAACATAGAAATTTACCTTTTATGCGTGAATTAAGATACCTATTTGCCCTTCTTGTTGGCTCGAAAAGAAAATACGTTGACCCATCAAGAGCTGTTGAAATTCTTAAAGATGCATTTAAATCAAATGATTCTCAGCAGGTAATTTAAGTGCTTTCTACCTTACTTTCATTAAAATAGCAATCAAAAATATAATTGAGAAAATTATACAAATAAAAAATTACCAAAAATGTTTTAGCTGATGAAAGTCTCAGACTGTGTATTTGTTTAGAAATATTGTATCAGTTAATTATTAATACAACTAATGAGGGATCTAGCTGAGATAATTGTAAATTTGTCCAGAAATTAGTACACTTGTAATGTGTTCATTTTCATTTTGTGGGGTTATTTTCTTCTTTCCTATTAGATAGAACCACAGAGGTGGAATGCTATATAGGTTGTCAAGTCCACCATCCTATTCCTTACAGGAATCTAAGTTCAAATTAAAACATCCATAACAGCATCCAATAAATGAGAGAAGAGTATCTGTCTCAAATATTGAGTAGCTTCAACATTTTTACTTTTATTCTGTATTGTAGGATATTATCTATACTGTTAAATTTATCAAATCTACAGATTCAATAAATTTTCCTCTATCATTTTCCAAGTCATTAATAGAAGTGTTGATGCGTATGGAAAGTACTCATCTAGGACTGAACTTTGTGGCACCCAACTAGTTACATGTCTCAAATTTGATAAAGAACCATTGATGAACATTTTCTAAGTGTGATTTGAGCCACTTATATTGTCATGCCAACCAGCCACATTTAAATATTTATTTTATTTTTTATTTATTTAATAGACTTGTCCCCGCCCATCTCCCCACACCGGGAGCTTTGTAATCAGAATATTGTGGGGTACTTTATTATACGCTTTGCTGAAATCAATATATATTAAAACTATAGCATTCCTATAATCTGTTAAGAACTTGCCCAGTTAAAAAGAGAGCATTTTACTTGAACAAGTTAATGCTTTGTTTTCATGGTGCTTACAGATCTATATCTTCTCAGGGATCAATGTCTTTCCTTGAAGATAGACAAAATATTTGGTTTCCAGTCATTGAGCACTTTGCTTTTCCCCCAGATTTCTCAAAGATGATAAATCCATTTTCAATCATATCAACAGCACTTTCCTTCAGTACTTGGATGCAGCTGTATATTATCTCTCTTTATTTTAAAGCTGCCTGAAAATGTAATTTTGGTTGTTCTTAGCATTCTTTGTGGACTTTAGCTTGGCAACCATTGGAAACGTTAGCTTTTTTCATGCTCTAGGTTTTCCAGGACTATTGGAAAATTGTGAGCTACCTGGTGTATTCTTTCTTGATAATCTACTTCATTCTACCTCCTGAATTCCTGAATGTTTCCTGTCTTGTTTTTTATCTTCACTTAACTTTTTTGATTAATCACATTTAATTCTGCTACTATCTTCTTTTTTCCCCCTCCTCATTGGAACTGTTTGTAATTGTGCTTTTAATACCTCCTGTTTTAGGAACTTCCACCTACATTCAGTGTTGTTTCTTGTTAACTACTCTTGATATGGAATCTTATTTAAAGGCTGATTAAAATACGATTTCCTGAAATCCACAATATGAGTTCAACTATACTAGACTTTAGCTTCCTTTAGAATTTTAGCATTTCATTCTAGCAGTCCTATTATTTGCAATGAACTTGGCTTTTCATATGGTTACTGTCAAGTGAAGAATAGCTAACCTTCTTGTGCCTTTTTCCATCTCTGTGAGAGAAAATTGTTTGCATTTTCTGGAATGCAATACTCGAAGATATTAGATACATCCCCCATCACTATTATTTTATGTCTTTTTGAAAAATGTGTAGTTGCTTATGAAAGACTATAGATTTCCTTAGTTGATGAGTGTTACTAAATTCTATCAAGTCATTCACTTTATTTATTCTTCCATTTTTAAAAAAATTGAGATGTATCTACAAAGTAATCCATATAGTTTTCTCAGCATACATGGATATTTTTTAGAATTCAGGCAACTCCTCCCTTTCTCTTGTTTCTGTTCCTTTTAACAAATTGTGTTCTTCAGTTGCTGTAACCCATAGAAATCTTCCAACCAGTTTTCTGTACTGCCTTTCTGTACTATGAGCTCATGTTCATCTTGCTTATATCCCAGACTCTGGGCAATTAGTATATATTCAACAAAAGCTATGAATTTTGTAGGCCAATATTTTTCCTGATTTTTGGTTTAATAGATTTGTCCTAATGGAAGGGCATAAATCTTTGGCCTTATTGCACGGGATAGTCTCCAATGTAATAACAAGACACAGTTTAGATTTCCATCTTTCTGCAAAGAACCATTTTACCAATCCTTGTGAGGTATAATCCATTTTATGCCAACTATCTGTCATATGGATTTCTTTGGATGATAGGCAATGATTCAAGAACCAAATCTCTCTCATCTACATCCTTTCTGAAGGTAGTAGTTATATTCTTATTTCCATTTCCAGTCCTTTTCATGGACTTAAATTATGGAGGAGAATTATAGGTGAGGCTTCAGGGTTTTACTTGCTAGATATTTCAGGTTTCTGTGATGTGAATGTGGCTGCTTTTGACAGTATGTAATGGTCTGTGAGAATATCCCTAAGAGACAGGAGGAGGAGGAGGAACTGCAGATTAGGCAATGGTCAGATAAGAGGCAGCTTAGCCCACAGAAAGAATGAGGTGTGGCAAATGTCTCAGAAGGGACCCTCCCTAGATTCTTGGACTGTTAAAGGCGATGGGAGAGAGAGGTACTTTCAAACTTGCAAGATTCTGTTACTTGCAACCTTACAATAAAAAAGCACTCATGGTTGGTGCTTCTTGTCTGTATGACCTTAAAGGTCTGACTTCAGCAGTATCATTCCTTCTGTTGCCTCTTATCTGACTGTCGCTGCTGCTGCTGCTGCTGCTCCTCCTGTCTCTCAAAGACATTCTCACAGACCATTACATGGTGTCATTTTTACCCACATGTATTTGCAACAATGACAGTCATCAGTTGATTTAATAATTCTGTCACTTCCCTCATATTTGCTTTTGATAGAGAGATCCCTTCACAAGCTGATGGGACTAACCACCTCTCATTTTCTGCTCCTCATACCAGTGAGTCGCCAGTCATCATAACTTTTTTATTCATTCAGGGTACAGCTACATTCTCCGTTTTGCAAATTCTACTCTCTGTCTCCGTAATTTTTATTTTTTCTCTTAAAAGCTTGAAGTCTTTTTTTTTTCTGTGAGGTACAGAGTATCTTATTTTCTTGTTTCTGATTGTTGCTCTTGTCTCCTGGGCTTCTTCTTTCACTTGATTCTTTTCCTTGTAGAGATTTGCTTCATCTTTCAGCTTCTGTTACTCTAGTAAAATATAGTCCACTTTAATGAGTTGGCCACTTAGCGCTCCACTCATTGTACTTTTTTCTTTAAGTAGTGTGCTTGTTACAAATATTTGCTGAGCTATTTTGGGACGGATACAGAAATGGCATGAACATTGCATATCATGACTGTAGTCATTTTTTATTCATCTGAATTTCTGTTTCTTACTTCATCACCACCAATGGAAACACTTATTTAGACTTCAATAATCCAATTTCAGGCTAGGAAATATGTTAGGAACTTCCTCAATGAATTCCAATGCCAAACCCTTGCTAGTTCTCCAATGGCAAAGTCCTGTTAGTTTTTCATGTTTGTTTACTATAGTGCCTTTTGCACTTCCAAGTCTTGCACATTCTTTCCAAGGATTTTTCCTTTATTTATTCTTCTGTGTCTGTGTTTGTTCTTTCTTTCTCGACAGCAAGATGTCAGTGAATTCACACATAAGTTGTTGGATTGGTTGGAAGATGCCTTTCAAATCCAAGCTGAAGAGGAACAGTAAGGAATTCTTGTAGTAACCTAAAGATTAATTTATGATTGAGTGTCTTTTAATGTGTCATCCACTCAATGTGTAATGTCAGAAATCTCATGTTGTCTTTGTAATCCTGTTATGACACTGAAATACAATACAATACAATACAACACAACACCTTTTTAAATAAGGGTAGCTTAGATGAGAAATGTTATTGGTACAGTCATGTAAGATCAACTGTGAGAAGAGTGAAGTAGGCAGATGTACCATCATATTCTTGTCCTAGATTACCTGGATTGCTCTCTCCTCTCCCAGAATATTCTGAAAGGAGTAGATGATACCACATGCAGTTATTTCTTGCTTCGCTTTATCAAATTTATCATAAATATCACTTTCCATATGTAGGGAAATCATTTAGCCTACTTGAAGTGAAATATTTTAAAGAAATTAATATTAATATTTGAATACAGTTGGAACCACTTCATGGATTCTGGTTGAAAATTTGGATACCAGTTTCATTATGTTGATAAAGATAATGAAATTAACCTCAAATTAATTAAAATTGGCTGCAATAAGTTATGAGTATAATAGATTGGAGATAGTTCCATTGAATGCAAATGTTCATGTGTAACCATATGATTAACATATCTGGAAAATATGCTTACTTTAAGGCAAAATTTGTACTTACTTTTTAACAAAAATATTGTGTCTTTAGGAATGGAGAGAAACCAAAGAACCCAATGGTAGAGCTGTTTTATGGACGATTTTTAGCAGCTGGATTTCTTGAAGGTACTACTCTTGAGTAGGCATATATTTGTAATTCAATTCTCTTCTTAACATTTTACTTAACATTCCATACTCTTTGCATGGAAAAATGTCTTTTAGCCCATAGCTCAACTGCACAAAACATAAGAAATCATCTGTATGAGACCCAGTTATTCAAGAGCAAAAGAACATTATTGGATAGTTTAAGAGTTAGATCTAGAGTGGGCAATCTGCCATTCCATGTCCCTCAAGCCTCCTCTGATCATGTTACCAAATTTTATCAATCCAGTTGCTAAAGAACTGGCAGTAGAGTGTTTGTCATTGGTAAGCAGGAAGCACCTAAAAACTTAGCCCTAAAGTAGACTTAATGTGGTGTTAAAAAGGATTTTCCCCCCACCCACCCAATAAGGGTCCCACTTAACTTTTTATTATAGACTGTGCAGAAACATACATTTTCCCAGCTTGTGCAATCTCATCTCTTCTCTCTGAGAAGACTTTTTTTTTTTTGGAAGGGAGGATGGGGTCCAACATTTAGTTACAGTTTCCACATATCACATATTGTGGTTTATTTGCAGCAGACATTTGAAATCATGTTTGATAGATCAGTTATGTCAGTTTAAACAACATCTTTATAATTCAGTAGTAGTGTTGACTGTGTATGTTTCCTGTTGAAATCTTACACCTTCCTCTTCTGATAAGGAAAGAAATTTGAAAATACAGAGATGTTTGGCCAGTATCCACTTCAAGTTAATGGCTTCAAAGATCTCCATGAGTGCCTAGAAGCTGCCATGGTTGAGGGGGAAATTGAATCCTTACACTCAGAAAATTCTGGGAAATCTGGCCAAGAGGTGAGTGATATTAGATATTTGGCAATATCAATAACCCTTTCCAAGATGCTAACCAAATTTAAAATATAGATGACACCAATGCAAAATACTTTGCCAAGTCATTTATTTATCTAAGCAAAGAAGAGCTTAATATGATTTCTGTTTATTTGGACTACAACCAATTCTGAAATTTCTGTTTGGAGAATGTAGTCTGTAACATAAAATGTGAAAGCAGGGCTCTTTTATCTCCTTTATCCTCAGTTGTTCCAGCAAGCTGATAGAAGGTGATCACTGAATTAAAATTTCACGAAAATAAAATAAAAACAGTATCTGAACAACAAGCATACTGATGACATCAGAGAAAAACACTGAAATCATGATATAAAACCATTCATACAATTCATAATAAATCATAATATTAAAAAATCAGATGAAACAGTTTTATAAATTTAATGATTAAATTCAAATAAATGGTCAATCAAACTAGTCAAAGCATAATCAGTGGCAAAGTCAGATTAATTTATATGATACCATATTTAAAGTGCATAAAAATTTATTCTTCCCATTCCCAGTGTCAGCATGCTTATTTTTTTCTTGTACCTTCAAATCACTTTTAACAACTACCTCGACAAGTCCATGCAGTTTTCAGCCCTAGGAAGAAGGCAACAAGTGGTTTACCGTTGCCTTCTTCCTAGGGCCGAGATAGGGAGCCTGGCCCAAAGTTACCCAGCTGGTTTTATTCCTAAGGCAGGACTGGAACTCATGTCTTCTGGTTTCTAACCTGATGCCTTTAGCCACTATATCCAACTTGCTCTTATATAAGCATACATTATAAATAAACATAAAGGAAAATTTTTTCCACTGTTGTGGTGGTTGAAAACTCCTAGATGGCTTTCAGATTTAGAGAAAGGTACACAGAAAAGTTAAGAAAGGTAAGACATTCTAAAGAGGAAAATTATTTTATCAGCTAAGGAAAATCAAAGAAGAGAATGATCTGACATTTCGGAACAGAGACTAAAGACCTAATGTTATAACGAATTCAGCAGCTTGGTCCCCTCCACATTTTTCTGGATCAGCATTTGTCTGTCTGCCTATATTTTATATTCTGGCCACTCTGCTTCTTATGTCACTCCCAATTTTCATTGGTTGCTGTTTGTTTGGATTCTCATTATCTGTTCATTACAGCACTGGTTTTACTGATTAAAATTGGTATTCCTTTGGTGGATTGTTAAACCAATTTTTTTATTCTGTTCTTGTTAATGGGATTGCTTGCATTGTGACTCTCCCATCAGTAACCAAATAATAAATTAGTTCATTCAAAATGTTCTGTTCTTGGTTCCCAAAACTACCTTATTCTTCTGTTCATCCAGAGCTTCAGAAACCTTCTTTTTAAGTGATCGTTTTTATTATGGCATTTAGCCAGCAAATCTATTACGATTAAAAATTAGAAAATAAAGCAGAAATAATTCCATATAATTTCCATATTTTATTTGCAAATTAGAAATAAAACAAAAATAATCTATTCATAAAGCAAAATATAATTGTGTAAATTTACATATATTGATTGTAGCAATAGATAGTAATATTAATAAAAGCTAGTAACAAACTTACTTTAAGTGAATTAAGCTAGATTAAATCTCACTTCTGTATCTGTTTCTATTAAAATAAATCTTTGTTTTCCATATCAGATTGCTATTCCATTATAACATAGGTATCTATATATTATGTTTCACAACAGTTACATCAAAATTAAAGTATTTAAGAAATTCTTAACATTATTTATATATTTTTTAGTTTTATAAATTTCAGTAGTTCTGTATTCCATAATCAAATGGACCAAGATACATTTAATTGTTATTATGAGGAACCACAAGTATACTACTTTTACTTTTTCAGATTTGAAGTAGTTTCTCACAATGTGTAGTATCTTTGTGATTTATTGTTCCTTAAACTGTACCATGAATTTTGGTTGTATGTAAGTCTCAGCTGACTTGAGAGAAAAGCCCAGTAAATACTTTATATAACAGTGCTTGATTCAGTTCATAGATCTTCAGAGGAAGTTTTTCAGATCACTTAAACAATATTTAGTGCAAGCCATGGCTTCAAGCAATCTTATCTAGTCCAGGGTTGGCCTTGTTCAGGTTTTATCATCCATTATATCTGATTCCTTGCACACATTTGCATAAGTGTGGTATGGCTTCATTTGACCTATATCTGAATACACCCTATCGTTGTTCCATGTGTGTTCTTCACAGCAGCAAAACAAAACAAACAAACAAAAAAACAAATTAACAAGAAACTTATAATTGTTAGGGTTTTTTTAAAAAAAATATTATTTTTAATGCCTCATTTAATTAAAAAATTATTTATTTATTTATTTTTGCTTGTAATGTTTATGCACAGTCTTCTTCAGGCTATTATGAAGTGGGTAAAATAATAATCTCAAGAAGAACAAATGGTAAGAGGTTATATTAAGCTTATAGCAATTGCCCCTTAGCCTTCCTTAAAGCTTTTTTTAAATTTCAACAGGATGAATTGATAAAAATTAATTATATCCTCCTATTTTGAGTGTTCTGTTTTTCAGATTTATCATTAAGTATTGATGGTCCATTACATAAGGTTCACTCAAAAAGATATTAAGCAAGCAAGCTAGCCTTCAATACATTAATGCAGGGTATTCCCCACAATCTTCTTTACAATAAATTTCCATGTCCTTTAGGTTGTTGGCCTAAATATTTACAGTGGTGCTTAAAAATTTGTGAACCCCATTGAATGTTCTATATTTCTGCATAAATAGGACCTATGATTTGTCCTCCACACAAGAGCATTATACTTGATCATTTATTTATTGAGGAAAATACGTACAAATATGTAGCTTTGGATCATTTTTCTCAATAAATAAACTAGTATAAGTATAAGATTTTTGACTCATTTGTTTAATTGGGTTCTCTTTATGTAATTTTAGGAATTGTGTGGAAAACAGATAATATTTTAGATCATATTTATGCAGAAATATTGAAAATTATGTTGGAGCAATAATAACCTCATGGCAATTTATTGAAAAATCTGGGGAGGTGCCATATTTTCAACTACATAGACAAAAAAAAAAAAAAAAAAAAAAAAAAAAGGAAACCTGAGAGCTGAGCATAATGTACATAGATAGCGATGTTCTAGAAATTCTTGTAATTTATTATATCACTCTGAGTAATGCAAATTTTCAAGTTTTAAGTGTATCCACTAAGTCAGAATGTTTTCTTGTTCTTCACTGTTTATGTAGATAGTGTCTTAGAGTGTCATCTTCAGGACAGGGTTGTTACTAGAACCAACATAAAAAGCCAGGTTGCTCAGGTAGGAACGCATTAATAATATGAATAATATTGGACTTAAGAAGACTCCCCACTGTTTACTGTCACATTTAAGAATTGTATGAAAACATAGATCGAGGTCTGTTTGGTTGGAATTTAAAGTTTTCAACCATTTTTGTTTGGAAGTTGATGGATTCATGTCCTTGTCTGTATGTGAGTGATCATTATGTGCACTTTTGTAATATATGGAACATAATGTCAGAATCTTAAAAATACGGATTTTTGTCTTAACAAATTGGCAGTTGTGTCATGAGGAAAAAATTCATGTCTGAACAGATACAGAAATGCCTCCTACCTGTAATATCCAAAACCAATGTTTTGGATCTTTCAACTAGGACAAGTGAAAATGTTCACTTTTTAATAACAGGTTAGAATCTTTTAGGGGCCACCTTTCCATTATGCCTTAGCTACCTAGAGGAAATATCTGCATAAATTTGTTAGCGAGTTTCATTTTTAATAGGAATTAGTTTCTCAAATGTGTCTAAAGATCTCTCCACAACTATTGGGCTTTCTTTGTAGATAACATTTTTCCCATTTTTTTTTTTTTTCGTCCTGGTCTTCTCTAAGGTTCTAGGACAACACCTTTACTAAAGAGTTTCTCAGTGCAATTACTCCATCCAAAATTCAGCCTAGTGAGTTGGAATAAAGAGAACAGATCTGTTCATTTTCTAGAAAAGCAGACACTGCAAAATTGAAATTTGTATGCATCTGACACATTTTGATATAATGTTCCAAGGTCAGTAAATTGGATTAAATATATGTCTAAAAGAAAGAAAAAGTATGGAGTGCTGTTTCCGATTTTAACATGTTATTTTAGCACTTTAATCAATTTTTAACTTTGAACACAAGTCAGATTGCATAGTATCAATTCACCGAGCTATCACTAGGGAGTGAATAAACAAACTGATTTGTTGGTCATTATATAAAAATAGATTGCTGTACAACCATCAATTATTAGCATAGACAAGGTGCAGTCTTTTTTTTTTTTTAAAATAAAACCAGTTTGATTAAATAAGAATATTAATGTAGTTACTAATAGCACCAGTATGTTTGTAAAGTGATTGTATTAATATTTAAGTTGAAAGTTTATTAGAAGGAAACCTAAAAACAGATTTTGGTTTCAGAAAGTTGTGGAAGGTGAAATAACATATGTTAATAGTACAATCTTTAATGTAAGTGCAGTTTCAACATAGTACTTTGTATGAACTTCCTAAATAACATTGTTCAAACATGTTTACTGGACCGGAATTTATATTAAGACCTGGATCTCGTTAACAGTAGAAGCATCATTTGAAAGCAAATACATTATTTTCCCCACTTTTTTTTTTTTTAATGTACCATGGAAAACGTGTATGTATTGCCTGAGGATGTCAGTTGTAGTCCAACACATCTGAAGGTGCCAAGTTGTGGAAGACTGGATTGTACTGATCTATACTCCAGAATATGTTGGGTCTAAGGTGATAGTTAATTTTTTTTTAATTTGATGTGATTAAAATTCATTTTTTCCTCTTATTTCTCCCAGCACTGGTTTACTGAGCTACCTCCTGTCTTGACCTTTGAGCTCTCAAGATTTGAATTCAATCAAGCTTTGGGAAGGCCAGAAAAGATACACAACAAATTAGAATTCCCTCCAGTTTTATACCTGGACAGGTACAACACTTTATAGAATTTGATAGCAGGGTAATATAATCTGGGATGTAATACAGTATTCAGAGAATAATAATCTGATCATCAGCTTTTTTAGTTGCTACATTTTAATATAATATTGTGCCAAAATATATTTTGCATTGTTTTTCATTCATTCCCATTCACTCTTAGGAAAAAGTGAATTTTTAAAAAATAGAGCTTGAATGTCTGGCTTCTCTTTTTCCATGTAGGGCTCTAATCTGTGTTGGATTATCCTAAACATTATTTTGCTAGTCTATGAAATTAAGGATATTGTACAATAGTTTGCACACTCTGTTAAGTCTCCTTTTTTTTTTTTAGTATTGGAATATAGATTGATCTCTTCCAATCACTTTCCATTGTGTCATTCTCCAGATTTGCTGGCATAGCTTGGTTAGAATCTTGATTGATTCTTCTTCTGTTGCTTGACATATTTCAATGGCATTCCATCAGTTCCTGTAGCCTTCCAAATTCGTAATGACAGAGTGCTAATTAACTTCATCTAGTACTAGAGGTTCTTGCAAGTAGGGAATATCTTCTACAGTATCTTGGATGTTGACATCTCTACTGTACAGTGTTTCAGTATACTCCTTCCATCTTAGTTTGATCTCCTTTAAATAGGTTACTATATGTACATTTGTGTCATTTAGCATACCAATTTGAGGTTGGAACCTACTTCTCAGTTCAGAGATCTTTTGAAATACTTTCCGTGTTATTTCATGTCTGTTTTTATCTTCAGTGTCTTTATAGATGTTTTGTAATACTGCTTCTCATTTTGTCTAACAGCTCTCTGAAACTCTTTGTTAAATTCATTTCTGAGATTTTTGCCCTTTCTTGGCTTTGGCTTCTCTTCTGTTCTTGGCAATTTCCATGGTTTGTTCTGACATCCAGTTTGCTTCTCTTTTTTCATTTTTAGCAGTCACTTTTCACATCCATCCTTAATGACTTATTTAAGTTCATTCCATAATTCCTATGGTTCTTTATCATTGAGGTTCAGGACTTTGAAACAATTCCTCATGTTTTCCTTGAAAATGGTAGCTCTATGTTCAAGATCATATTGTGAAAACTGACTGGCTTTTTTTTTCTTCTTAACTTAACTTAGAATTTGCACATGAGCAGTTTGCAATCTGTTCCATAGGCAACCCTGGCAATCAATGGAGTGACAGATGTTGTAGCCAGATTGCCCTCACTTTCTTAGTCAGCACCTCTCCATGTCTTTGTTGCTGTAACTGAGCTCCTCAGCCCCCTTTTAGCAATAATATAGTCAATTTGTTTTCTGCATACTCCATCTGGTGATGTCCATGTATAGAGGCGTTGTTTTGGTTGTTTGAAGACAGTGTTAGCTATGAAGAAATTATTGAAGTGGCAGAAATTGATAACTTGCTTTCCTGCTTCATTTCAGTTTCCTAAGCCATACAATCCAACTACACTTTGATCTTTAACATTTCCAACTTCAACATTCCAGTCTCCATTCACAAGCAGTATATCTTGCTTGTGTGTTCTCTTGATTTCAAATTGAACTTGATCATAAAACTCCTCAACTTCCTCTTCTTCTGTATCAGTGGTTGGACCATAAACTTGAATGATCATCGTATTAAAGGATTGTCCACAAAGTCTAATTTTGGTCATTGATTTCACTGTAGGCCGAGTACTGTTCTTGCTATACCTTTCCTAACTATAAAAACAACACCCATTCCGTCTTTGTTTTTCATGTCCTGAGCAATAAATAGTGTGATCTTCTGACTGAAAGTGACCAGTCCCAGTCCATCTTATTTTCTATCCACGTTTGTCAATTTGTAATTGTTTCATTTCATCTTTCGCTGTTTGCACTTTCCATGTTCATGCTTTTTACATTCCATGTTCCTACTGTAATTCTATCTTTGCAGCTTTGGGTTTTCTTTTCCTATATGGCAACATCCTGAAGGCTTTAATCTAGCCCCATCATAAACACCATTAGTTTTCCAAAAAATTCTCAGCTCTTCCTCAGTTGCATGTTGATTACCATCCAACCTGAGGAGCCCATCATCCAAGACTATATTGTCAGTCATTCTATATTTTCTGTCCACGTGGCTTTCTTGGTAAAAATACAGGTATGGTTTACCATTACCTTCTCCTGTACAGTATGAATTTATGCCTTTGCCATTATCACTAAAGTGATCACCTGCCTCCATCTTCCTATATCACTGCTGTCCAGTATAGGTGTCTGCTAGCTTTAGCTGGGCAGCTGGGATGACCTCCACACCTTGGGTGACCCTGCTGGGAATATATACTCTTGGCATCCCAACATCCTTTGCTCATCCTTCCCAGGAATACCACCACCAGCCCCACCATGATGAGGCAGCACAGCAGGACTTTGGGGGTGTTGCCTTTATGGAGAACATATAATCGAACACTGGTTAATGCCCTCCTTTACTGTATCTTTTATAAGGATTTTCACAGTACTTTCTCATATCCTATGATTGATTCGTAAAATATCTTGTTGTTCAAGAGAGTTTTATATTCTCTACTCATGGACAAAATTCTAGAATTACATGATAAGTTGCAAAATTCTGTCTAGCTGCTCATCAGACAAAGTATCAAAGATTATAGAAGAATGAAATGTAGCTACATAGAATAAGACTTGGTATGCTTTTGAAGATTTATGCTACTGAACTCTATAAAGTTTTTTATTGCTCTGTGTTTTCTGTTAAGGATATGAACTTGAATGTTAGTCAATAATAATTATTATTATTTTGTGGCAGGTTGAATTTTAATTGAGGCAAAGGATTTTAAGAAGAAAACTAGATAAATTATGACTCTTACATTAATTGCAAAAGAACTAGAGCTTTTGTTCATCCAGTCTTTGCTATGGCTTCTAACTGTATTTTAAGCAAAGTTAATTTCACTGTTGGGAATATGCATGCACTCTTGTACAGCAGAACTGTAAATCAAATTACATTAAATTACAGTGGGGCAAAAAAGT